ATTCGTTTATATTCTGCCTTTTGAAAATGTAGTGATATATAGCAATTGTATAAAATAAGTTAAGATTGAGAGTCACTTTCTTGTCAACTTTACAGCTGAACAAGTAACTAAAACTGAAATTTTCTAAGGTAAAAAAAATTTGGATTCTTGCTGCTGGAGAATAAAATTGACTTGTCTCTTCTAGAAGAGAAAATACAGAATGTGCAAAGTCACAGTAAGAATCTGAACTAATTCCACTGTGATGTTTTGCAGGGGAAAAAAGGATTCACTTATATGATTATCTTTTGACTGGAGGACCAACCATTCAACTGTCATTATTTTTGGATTTTAGTATATCTTTGTTAAGTATTAAGTCCAGGTTTTGAGCTAAAATACATTTTAACCAGCTAGGGAAGTAGTTCAAAGCTCCATTTTTGGTCCCAATAGAGAAGTATATATTCAGTTTTCAGCTTAATCTTGCAGCATCCCTAATAATTATATTCCATGATACTTTTGGTACATGTCTATTGGCAGTAAGAAATGAAAAAACTGCAGTTATCCATGATGGTTCCTTATGATATAACCAGGGTTCATCAATCCTTCATTACTTAAATGACAGAAATTATAGCAGAATTTGATACAATTATATACCAATCCATTTTACTGAGACCCAGAAGATTGACATTTCAGGATAAAAACTTCAGTGGCCTAGCTCATAATCTCAATTTAAACATACAGCTTCTTTTATCTTAATAGATAGCTTGAACATATAGATTTCATCTACCATAAACAAAGCCATAGTGTTCCTTTTGGGGCTGGGTTTGAATCCAGCTACTGTGGTTTATATACCACGCATTATGTCTTAGTGTCTCCTGGCATGTAAACCAAGCAAGCTGTTCAACAATAAATGTAGCTGGATTAAGCCATTTTTGCTTAAAATAATTTAGTGCTAAGCTACATTGGGTTTTAACATGTTGCATGACTTCAGCCAATGTAAGAACCATGGGAAATAAATCATGACCCTTCTACACATATGGGGGTAGGTCATAAATTAGCTCAAAGAAATGTTTGAGCCACTTTGATGCAGTAGTTAAGGCAGGGCGCCTCAACCCTAGTACCAGGCTGGAGGTAAGCGGGTGAAACTCCATGTGCGCTGAACCATCCATTTCCTGCACCACCACCACTGCCGCCGCTTGTCCACAGAGCCAGAAAAGTTGGGAATGACTGAGTTAAGGCATTCAGACTAGAAACTGGGAGTTGTAATCCCACTTTAGGCACAGCTGGGTGGCCTTGGGCCAATCATTTTCTCTCATTCCTAGGAAGGAAACAATTTTTCTGGGGAAAAAAAAAGAAAGAAACGTTGCCAAGAAAACTGCAGCTACCTGTCCAGGAAGTCTCTAAAAATGTTACTGAATGGGAAAAAAGTTAGTTAATAAGCCATCATTGTCAGGTTTATACATTATACTAAGCCACTATGAACTTAGTTTATACAGATCTGCAAATCTCAATAGTTCACACAATGCTATATACTCAACAACTGTATTGTTATGAAGTATTCTTATATATGAATTCAGCCACTGCCTATGACAGTCTTCTATACCTAGTAATTATATCCAAGTAATAATAAAAATAACACATGGATCAACATTGTCTTTATTTTTTACTAACACATGGATCGTTACAGAATTAAGTCATTTTGCTATCAATGGATTGTTGTCCCTTAATACACACTTAACATTAAATCTCAGTTAACAATGCTTTAGCAATGATCTGTAAAGATCAAGAAAAGCAGATTGCACGTTATCAGAGAGAATGGAAGTATTTACCAGTTTTAAGCACAAGTTTTACATATTTTAATCTTTTTACTTTTCCATACAATTTAAATGTTTTCTTTAGAAATTTCTTGAAAAAAATTACTACTACTACAAAAGCATTTCCAGAAGTTAAAATGTTCAGTTGTACACCTTTACTATTGGAAGAGGATTTGCTCTACAAAGAATAACTTATCCAAGTCAAAGCTTTTTCCCAAGAAACAATGCCAAATATATTCTGATCATTCTCCTCTGTTCAATTTTTTTATCGCCATTCTTTTCTTAAATGTTCTAATTTTGCGGTTCTGTTTTTTCTTATGTCCAAGACTTTTTTGCAGAATTGTCTTTGAGTCCTTCCTTTAATCTATCCATTGTTTTTTCTTCTCCAAATGATTAATTTCTAATAAACATTTTAAATTATTATTCATGACTTTTCATAACAAAACATTGGATACTGCTACAAGAGCATTAGCAAATGATCAATAATAAACTTTAACAAAAGTCAAGCAAACTTTTTCCCAATATACATAACATAATGGCCCAGGAGATATGAATATTTATTACACTATAAATTTTAAGGGAAATATAGTTTGAAGGAACAAACTATCGGTTCCCCTCCAAATAACATCTGATTCTGTGGTATACATTCCAACATTCATAAATTGAGATAGCATAGCATGGTAAACCTTGATTTGTTATCATTTTTGTTAGGGGCTAAGTTATCATTAACATACATTAGTTATAATTGCTGGATAAGCAACAATACAGTTCATATATTGCTATAAACATGCCTTACATACTACAGTATCTAAATTCATACAAATTACTTAGCTAGTCAAAAATTAACCAATCAGATCAAGTCTTAGTTAATTTTCTTATTTTAACAAAATAGGTGCTGGTAACATCAGTGTAACAAGTAGGAAGAAGAGACAGGTTTTACTTAATATAGTCATTTTTTTCTTTATAGAATCACAGAAGAAAATAATCAGAGGATAAGATAGGAGTTCGTTTTGGAATTCAAGTGCTGCAGATTGGGTTCACGTATCACACTAAACCACTATTTTCTTTTAAGCTACAGTTACTGAATAAATTATAATTGGTGGGTAATCTTGCTTTCTAATAGGGTGGGTTGAGAATAAATCACAGTTTGAAAAGCCAATCAAAATTCAGCTTTTCTTTAGTTCTTCTCAGTTCTGATAAAGACCTGAAGCAGAGTGAGAGCCTTAAATGGTTTCATAGTAAAGACCAACCAACCTTTATCAAAAAGTTAACATTTTTTTTTTGACAAAAAGAGATGCTAAACAAAGATGTTCTTGCAATTTAATTAAAACCCTTAACAAAGGAAATAGAGTGTGTTTGGAAATACAGGGATTAGAAACTAATGGCACCCACTATAAATCTTTTGGTTAATGATATTGCCCTAATTGTGTGGATTTTCTACAATTATGAATACTCTTCTAACTTTTGGAAAATTAACAATTCACTATTGTTACACAACACAACTCACACAACTCTAACTCGCTATTTAGATAAATATTCCTACAACAATACAAAATATATTGAGCAAATCATCAGCAATTCAAATCAATAAACACTCAATTATCTTAGGGGGTTTATATTCCTAAATATTTGCAGAAATATTTTTAAGCTTGATAAAGTCAGAACAACTGATGCTTAAGATGGAAAGTCTAAGAAACAGTATTAAAAATGTGGGCACTTCTTTTTGCATCACAAACCTGAAACATTCAAAATCTATTTCTTCCGAATATGTTCAAGAAACTGGAAAATATGCTTCTCTAATTAAACTCCACATCCATTTTTAAAAGTGTTATAATGAAAACAAAATTAAATCGTATCAGCTCTGGAAAATTAACTTCATTATTTAAAAGAATTTCCACAGGACTATGAAATGACAGGAACATTCTTTAACATTTTTAAAGAATTTTAACTCATTCATGGATTGCAATTATATATTCTGCATCTTACTGTAGTTCTAGCAATCAGAACCCATAAGCTAAAGCCATGACTAAATTTTAAATTAAGCTAAATTCATCACTCAGTAGGAGAAAAGGAAGATTTCAAAAATTTAAAACATTGTTACAAGACAAAAATTTTGAATTAGTTCAATGTAGCATTACAATCTGATATAAAAAAAAATTACCATGACTTTATGGTTATTTTCTGTAGAGAAAACCACTCAAATCAATTTTGCCCCAAATTAGGAAACACTGAACAAAAGCAATTTATAGATATTAAAAACTAAAGAAACTCAACATGATGAGTTCCAAGCTCCATTTATTGGAGGAAATATAAATAGGTAGATTTTATACTACATGGTTGTACAGGTAATTTTCAACTTTGAGCCTATAATTAAAGTTAAGTGAGTCATCACATAAGTGATCCAATTTTACATTTTTTTTAGGCAGTCACTAAACAAATGCAGTGGTCATTAAGCAAACAGTAGTTGTTAGGCAAACCTACTGTCTGGAAGCAAACACTAGTTTCTGACAAAAAAAGGCAAAAAAAAGTGTAGTCACGTGACTGTGGGATGGTATAAATGCCCATAAATGTAGGCTAGTTGCTAACTGCCAAAAATGTGATCATGTGACCTCAGGTGAACCTAGCCTTCCAACTTCAAATGTGTCATAGGTACTTTTGAGGTCCATCATCACTTCGAACAATCACTAGGCAACTGATCATAACTCTGGTTATTTCATTAGATCTTAACTTGGCCTTTTTTATATATATAATCCAAGCACTACTTTAAAAGACAAATATTAACAAAGTATTAACAAGACCCCGAAAAACAGGAAAGAACTGGAAATGTTGCTAAGGTGACAAATACGTTAGAAAATATAAATGGAAATTTGACCACCAAAGTGGCAAAATCATATGGTTTTACTTCACTTAATTTATATTTTATGCACAACGAAGTCATAACAATTGTCTATGAGCCAGTCCAGGTTCCTCAATAATCTAATTAGTTATGTTTTTGCTTCTCTGTAGATTCATTATCTTACATTTTTTTTAAAAAATCCAACCTAAAACCAAGCTTAAATTAGCATTAATTGTGGGTTACAAGCTCATTTCTTAATCTAGATGAAACAGAGGCATGTCTGTATCAACAGTAGCGCAGAGAAGAGGCATGCCTGATTAATTTAATTAATTTGAGATTTAATTATGGTTATACTTTTTTTAATAATTTATTTCTTCAACTTCCATCCCAGCTTTCTCCACTATTACCATTACTGAATAAGCACCATGTTTGACCAAATCAACAGCAGAAACCCATCAATGTACTTTAAGTAAAATGTTTTTGCCTACTGGCATAAAGATAACCAAGATGTAGTTGTTCTGATGTTATTTTCACTACCTATAGTATAGTAATAATATCTTGTGTCTTTGCAAGGAAAATTATATTTTTCTACACACTGTGTGAATCAAGTTTTTAACGTCATGATTTGCAAACTACAATGTTTATACAACACATGAAGTTAAGACCAAGCAAATGGTCACAGTATATGGCTAGGTAAAGTGCATGAATCCCACAATGAAATTTGAAGGACATGAATTGCTCCCCTGCTATTAAAAAAACCTAGAGCTCTTAATTTACTGCAGTGGTTTTGAATTCTTCATGTTTATCTCTTTTATGAACTCAAGACCAAAACATAATGCCATCTCAAATATGACTACTGTATTTGGGCTGCAAAAATCCAGCCAAATATTTCAAAGCAGGAATTACTGCCCTACAGAATAAAATATAATCTCAAATCTCACCCGGTAATATAAAAACTTAGCATGTGTTATTTGCCTGTGTTAACATTCTATCCTGTAAAGTAACAAACTGGTATTACCCTCAAAACAAAACACCCAAGAAAACTTCTATATGAATTTACCCATATCTAAAAAAAAGCATTTTTTTCCTTTGATAATTATAAACATACAGCTACTTTCCAGTGATACAGACATTTAGCTTCCCACTTTTCTACTACACTTCTTATTATCTAAGAGTTGGAAGGACCTTAGAACAGTATTTAGCAGAGGGAGGGCCTAGAACCCAAAATGGCAAAAAAAAAAGAAGGGGAAAAAAATAACCCATAACCCATTTTCCTTTGTGTAGGCATGAAAGTACAGTGGGACTTTTTTTTTTAATTTTGCAGGTGCTTCTGTTAGGAATTTCAACAATCACGTTCAAGTTATCAAAGTGTTTCAGGTATTAAAATCCAGATCATTTAATTAATCCTTTGCAGAATTTTGGATGGAGTTCAGTGTTTGGATGTCAGAGTTAGCGTAGACGACACACGGAAAATCTGTGGCAACATGTTACTCAATTGGTAAAACATTTCTTCAGAAATACTTTGGGGTACCAAGAATTGCACAGTTCGAGAAATCCCACCATCCCAGGAAGCCATTTCCATCATAAATCCTTTGACACATTTAAATACAAGTTCTGCTCTTTTCAGACACCAAGATATCGTCATTTCTTCAGACATATCATGTATCAGCAGAAGAGGAATACTAATTGTGGTGATGTCATGGGTGCAGCATACTTTAAGGATATTTCGGAGGCCCATGATTGCAGGATCTCGGGCTGTAATATTACCTGACCTCACATTGTCATCCACACAAAGATGAAAAGTCACATGAATTTCAGAGAGGTTTGAATGTCGGGTGATATAAAATTCTCCTGGAAAAATATTTGATGGATTCTGTTCCCCATTTTTAGATTTATCTTCATTGCCACTATTTCTGTTTCCTGCTTCGTTTAGTCTTTTGGCTTTACTACTGCGTTGTGCTCGAGCATAAAGTACAACTTGCTGAACAACTTCAAGCTGTTCCTCAACTCCAGGAAAATGGAAATCTGTACACTCCTGGCAAACAGTTGCAAAATCTCTTTTGATCCCACTGTACGAACTGATGCGATTATCCACAAGCAAGACTAGACCACAAAGGGAAGTTGAATAAAGTGAAAGTGCAGTTTGAAGACGGTGGAGTTTGATTCCACTGCGGTGACTGCGCTTGTGCTTGCAGAAATCTAGCATATCTGCCCTCAGGAGTCGCAGGTTATGCATGGTTTTCAGCTGTGCTCCCAAATGGATAGTGAAACTTTCTTCCAATTGCCTCTGGTCCTCAAAGAGTCTTCCAGTTCCTTCTTCAGATTCTCTCCACTGATTAGGAGTAACTTTGATCTCATCACCAATAGTACTGTTGGGATTTTTCAGATCCTGGTGAACTTTTACCACCCATTCTTGATACTCCTGCTTTTGGATTGCTGTGGTTTGTTTCAATTCACTGTTCCACTTGTTCTCTAGTAGCTGCTGGGATTCAAAGTGCTGAGCTGCCAACATGTTTACATCTTGATCTGTTAATGATTTCCCCAGTTCTTGCATCACCTTATCCATTTCTGCCCGTTGTCTTTCTCGCAGTTTTTTTAGCTCCACATCCCTCTCGCTTATTAATTCGGAGATGCTAACGAAATAATTATGTTCCAAGTTTAATAGAGTTTCAGAGGCAGGAGAATGGATCAAGTCATGATAAACATCTGCAAAATCTTCATCCCAGCTGGGGTCTTCTGGCCTGGCATATTCCGAGGTTGCCTCAGTGTAAGCTTGGGCCCAAGCCTTCGCCAGCTGGTGTAAATCCATTTTACCAGATTTTACAGCTTCCAGAGCCGCTTCCGCTTCTCTGTCAAAATCTTCTACGGATGCTTCCTCTATGAATTTCGTCAGAGACTCTTTCAAGCCGTTTTCTACGAAGCAAGGCAAATTATGAAGCAGCATTAGGCACCTAGGCAAATGACTAACGTTTTCTTGGACGGGGAACTTCAGCGGCACGGTAAGCAGAAAATGCTGGTTCCCGGCCTTGAATTCATACACAAATTCTCTCTCCATCCTGCGGCTTTTTTAACTCCCACCCACCTCGGCGGCTCTTTCTTTTCAGGGCTGGGCGCCTTCTTTGAAGGTGCGTTTTCAATTTTCAATGGCTCTTTTCAAAAGCAAAAAAAAACCAACAGGCGCTTCCGCTTCTCGATGGCTTCTGCAGCGCCCGCTGCCTTTAAATGGGAGCCGGCTTCCGGAGCGTGGAGAGAAAGGCTTCCCGGCCCGCGATGCCTTCAAACCTTAATAAGCGAGCGGCGTCGCCGTTTTTCGGGCGAGGGTCGCAAAGCGGGCGGCATGCGAATCCCCGGGCGTGACTGGGGCTTCCGGGGGAGGCCAGGCCGTCGCCCGTAGCGTCCAAAGAGGTCTAGTCGCCGCCGCCGCCGCGCAGCTGGGACCGTCCTGAGCCACGGGGTGGTGGTGGTGGTGGTGGCTTTGAAGGACCGACTGCCGTCCCGGCTCACCTTTCAAACCGGGCAGAGGCGAGACGAGGCTCCTTCCCGCCGCCCAGGTCCAGCCTCCTGCGAACCGGCGAGAGGGGCGGGCCTGCCTGCGCGCTGGCCGGGGTGGAGAGAGCGAGGGCCGGCCTTGGTAGGCTCAGCCCCCACCCCCGTCAGTCGTGTTTACATCCGTCCCGTTCGGGTTCCCCTCCGCGGCCTCGCAGTCCCCCACTCCCGCCTCTTCTGCCCGAACCCACCTTCGCTCCCTTTCCAGGCCGGGTCAATGCGGTGCTTTCCGCCGGGCCATGGACACCAGCGACCTCTTCACCAGCTGCAAGAAGGGCGACGTTTGTCGCGTGCGGTGAGGCCTGGGCCGAGGCTTTAAGGGGTGCTGGGGGCGGGCCGAGGGTGGAGAAGGCGCGGGTGGCCCGTTTGGGACATGACTTGAGCCCCCGAGGTCGGCTGGGTGGTGGTAGTGCGGGGTGGTATAACTGCCGCTTCTCGGGCTTTGCCGAAACCCTTGTGTTTGTTGAAAGTCGCTGCGTGTTTGTTTACCAGCCGGAACTTTTCAAAGTGGCTCTTGCATTTTCAGACTCTTCCAACCTATAAATGTGGACCAGGCGCTTAACTGAAAGTGCTTCTAATTATTAATTACTTATTCCCCATCCTTTTAGGGATAGCAGAAAATGCAGCCACTTGTTATGTGGCATGCAAGGCAAAAGTTGCCCGGATTGATGGAAATGTAGAATGAAAACTGCGATTTAAGTACAAGTAGCCCTCGACTTACAACAGTTCCTTTACTCACTGTTCAAAGTCTCAATGGCATTGAAAAAAGTGACTTATGACCATTTTTCACACTTATGACCATTTTTCACAGCATGGTCAAAATTCAGATGCTTGTCAACTGACTCGCATTTATGATGGTTGCAGTGTTCTTGGGTCATGGGATCCCCTTTTGCAACTTTCTGACAGTCAATGGGGAAACCAGATTCACTTAACAGCCCTGTTACTAATTTAACAACTGCACTGATTCACTTAACAAATGTGTCAAGAAAAGTTGTAAAATGGGGCAAAACTCACTTCATAAATTTCTCATTTAGCAACATACATCTGGGCTCCATTGTGGTTGTAAGTTGAGGACTACCTGTATTCTAGGTTGAGAAGTAGCCTTTGGGAGGAAATGGGCTGTGTATGCACCACATCTGGCTCTTTGTAGCATCAAATATAACAGTAGTGAGTTGTTCAAAAGAGGCATTAACACCATTTCTCATGGTGACCAAATTTTCTTATCACGCTACATATATTAAAATATTCAATGAAAGAATGCCTGATTCACACTTGCTTTGTTGGAAGTCACTATACCATGGGTAATTCTCATTAGCTTTCATCACTTCCATTTCCATTTTATCTCTTCAGCAGCAGCAAAGTGTGTATGCATACTCCACACATTTGATCCTTTCAAGTATGTGTTAGAATCCTGTATTAGTAAGACAAATTTGTCTTAAAGAATATTAAATATTTGGGACCCTAAAATGATAGAAAGAATGCTATTTTAATTTTGTCATGATGAGCATGCTTTTGGCCTGCTCACATTTACTTATCTCCCAAAGCAACTACTGTTTGGTATTATTAAGTCTCTTACTCAATTTGTTTCATGACAGTAGTGGGAAATTCAATATCCTCCTTGGTTAGGTTCACTTCCTGGTGACTAGATGGCTATGTCACTGCAATTTTCTTGGCAACAACATGGAAGTGGTTTGACATTGCCTCTGGAGCATTTATTTTGTTTCTTGGTCTAGCCTTGGAATTATCTTGTGCTTTACCATCCAGGTATTAACTGCCTTATGGTTTCCTTTTTCTTTTTCCATCAGTCAAATTATGCTAGATGCTGCCCCCCAGCTGAGTCCCCGGTTCTTACATTCTTTCTAAAAAAAAGTTTTTCCTGCTTATCAGCTCTACTTCATCCCTAAAACAGCTGACAACTTCAGATATCCTAACACAGCTAGCGTAAAAAGTAGAGAGATACAGTATATGTAAGATGAGCTTTGAAGCAATTTATAAATATACAGTCTCATCCTAAAATTGCATGGTATTTATTTGAAGATACTTTGAACCTATCTTCTGGTTTTCCACTAGATGTTTCATGCGGCCTGTAACGAAGAATTCAGCACTGTTACTGTATGACAGAACATAATCAAAATGCAAGCTAATAATAATTGTTAGCAATATATAAAGAAAGGCCCCATGTTTGTGATTATATTATGTACTTCACATCATTTAAATCTGATTAAATCAGTAAGATGACTAAATCAGATGATAAATTATTCTTATAGTGCTTAAAGGATTTTTCAAGAAACAATGCTTTGTTTTTATTTATTTTTGTTTATTTCAGTTATTTGTTCAATTTTAATCCCTCCTTTATTATTTTATAAATAACTCAAGTTAGTGAATATACCCAATAGTCTTTCCTTCTCCTATTTTCCCCACAACAATAACACTGTGAGGTAAGCTGGGCTGAGAGAATGACTGGCTCAAAGTCACCTTGCTGGCTTTCACGCCTAAGATAAGATTAGAATTCACACCCTCCTGGTTTCTAGGAAAATTATTCAGTCAGTAGAAATCTAAGCAGCATGGAACAAAACAATATAACAATCCTATTAGTCTGTACAATAATATTACAGTGTTTATATCAGCAGAATGCTATCTTAAACAATCATGAATAGCATTATATCCTTGCTGTACTACCATTCATCTCTGGCGTAAGCATTCTTCATTTCCTAGTCCAAATGCTTTCTGATAATTTCCTAAATTCTATGTATGAAGGACCAATGCTTTATTTGATAGTATAAAATTCCTTAACAGGAGAGTCTCTGCAGAAAATGCTTGTCTCTAGTCTCTTCTGCCTTAATTCCTGGTGAATGGGAACTCTGAGCATTTAGTTTCTGCAGGCAGATTCTAATTGAAGTAAGCTCTTTTAGTGATAATGAGGCTCCAAGTAGCAAAGGATTTCAAATGTGATAATTAGCACTTAAAATTACACCTGACAACCAAATGGACCAATGCAATTTTTGCTGCATACTTCTATTTCTTAATGCTCCTAATATATAGGGACAATATTTGTATTCCTATCAGTAGTATCTTTGATAAATAATCTTAAAGAACTTCTGTTATTTGATTCCCCACACACACATTAGAAAGTTAGATTTGATCTATAGTAGGCAGACAAATGAAAAGCAGTAGAATTAGTGTAATGTGTTAAAAATATTTTTGGCGGATTCTTACTTGGGTTGAGGCTTTGAGAGGGTTCCGTTGCTAGGACACTTCTTTAATAAAAAAGAAAACTCAACCCATGAATAAAGTGGCTTGGAATAGATCCTTAGTTGTTAAAATTGTCTGTTTGTCTTTCAGATACCTTCTTGAACAGCGAGATGTTGAAATCAATGTCCGAGACAAATGGGACAGTACCCCTTTGTGAGTGCTTTGGCCTTGAGATACCCATACTGTTTGATAATTTACAAAGGGATTTAAGAAAGGTCTTTCAGCTTTTGCAGCATTTTTCTATCCTTTGTAATTTTTGAAAAGAAAATGCTTTTTGTTACAAGTATTTTAAGTAATCTCTCCCAAATTATATGTATGAAGAATACTTCAGTGTTTACCCCTCTGGATACTTTTTTTCCTTTGTAAAAATATGCGTAACAGTACAGTTTTTTATCATTGCTTGAGAGTAGCCATTTAAATAAGTTGCTAGAAAAATCCTGCTAATTTGATTTAGCCGTTAGCATGGAAACATTAATTCTCATAATTGTTTTCAACTTATGTTTGGAGCTATATTATTTTTGAAGCAAAAGGACTGACATAAGGACCAGGATATAGCATAAGGATGTCTAGAATTATACAATGTGATCAGTCACACCATAAAAGTTTTCACTTATTTGTTTGTAATGCAATCTAATATGTCCTTGGGATTTCACATTGTCTACAGAACTCATTTTTCTTAGCATGCAGCCTCAAATTTGTAAGTTTGAAGTTTGCAGAAAACTTCTTCAGTCATTCTTCAGTCTAGTTCTAGTTAGCCATTTGCCAAATAAGAGTGCCAATAAACTAGTGCTCCTTTCTCTGTCTAGTTGACCAATTCCTATGGTTCTTAAATATCTCTTCACAGAAAGCAAAGCATATACACTGTAAGCAGCTGTCTTTTGATTCCAAGCAGAAAAACAGCATTACCATTACCACCTTGAGAAGTAGTATGTCTTAGCAAACATTTGGAGGGCAGTATTATCAGAACAGTTGCGTTTGAGAGCTGATTAATTTATTGGAATGTGAGTGATTGATTTTGAAAATTGGGGAGAAAATGAGAACAGTTTTTCAGAGGGTGGTAAGGAAACATGTTAATTTATTTTGCATTAGTAATGGTTGAAAGACAACATTATGGGATTGGTGAGGATGTCTGCTGGCTATGAGGTAGACAAAAATAACTTTACCCAAGTATCTTTCAGAAAATTGTATTTTACATTAGTCCTGAAACAGTAGTTTTAATTATCAGTCTGAATCTAGGAAAAAAATCAAAGTGGTGGTTTTGCCTTAAACACTTAAGCAACTTCTGGACAACTTAAACTTTGTTTTATCTTGATTCCTCAAGATGAGACTGGGAAAAGGGCTCTTATTGTAGAATGAATTTTTCAGGCAAACTTTTGCTGGCTTCAGGAAAATCTTTCCAGAGCCAAGACAAGATATTTAAGTATACACTGTTCTATATGTTTAAATCCAAGGCCGAATGCTTTTGCTCATAAGAAATTGCTGCTTAAAATATTTATTATTTATGTGATTTGTTCTGGAAGTCTTGCATAAAAGGAGCGGAGCATTTATATTTCTTAAAAATATCAAATGTATAATTTTCTTGGTTTGTTAATTGGAGATGAGTTCTTCCCAACTGAGGGAATAACAGGTAATACATTATATTCCATTGTGAGACTATCATGCTACGCTGTTTTTCTCTCATAATGAATTACTAAATAAACTATATGAGTTTACTTCTAAAATATGCAAAGCTAACACCAAATAGGCCGCCACATTATGATTTAATATGTAGGA